ACATTCAAATTCTTTTCCTTATAGACTAAAAAATATTTAATTTTCAAAAATAGTAGAATGTTGCAAATAAATATAGTACTAAGAAACAGAACAAATTCTAAATTAGGATGAAGTTGGGGGTAAGAAGCAAAGTAAATTATTTCTCATGAATAGTTACAAAGAAATGCTTCTTTTTAAGAAGACCTCAAGGGTTCAGTGATCGTTGTGGAAGAGGGAATGGAAAGATTTTAAGAACCAGAAGTGGTGGATGACCATAAGGAAACAGAGTTTTCCAGACACCTGGAAAATTATTCATATGAGTTTACTGCAATGGTAACACTATGCACAAGACCCATGCAAGCTCAAGCCAGGGTAGAAATGGGGAAGTTCGAAGCCACAACCTTAGGCTGGGAACTACTGACAACTGGGAGAGGGAGAGTTGGTTTCCTATAAGGGGTGTAGCACTAGTTAGGTAGGCCAGGTGCCAGTAGATGAATACACACAGCACACCAAGAGATATTTTGGGGGACACCAGCTTGGCTTGATGGACCTTGGTATATATGACAGAGTACATGAAATCAGGCAGGGGGCTATGGGAAAGGTGTGGATGAGGGAAGGTGTCTAGATATTACCAAAAAATATTGTATAAAGTTTGTAAAATTTCAATTTAATCTTTTAAATAAATAATAAAGGCAGCTAGGCATGGTTGTGCACCCCTTTAATCCCAGCACTCAGGAAACAGAGGCAGAAGATCTCTGTGAGATTGAGGTTAGCCTGGTCTACTTAGTGAGTACCAGGTCAGCTATGGCTATAGGGAGACCCTGTCTCAAAAAAGAAAACAAAAAATAAACCATAAAAATTTCATTATCAAACGACAGCTTGTCCACTGAATTATAAATCACATCATATTATATAGAGTATATATTAGATATTCTTTTTAACTACTATATATAATTTTAAATTTATTTCATCAAAAATTATATAAACTGGGTGTGTTGGACAGCTTTAGTGTCAACTTGACACACCTGGGTTGAAGGAGCCTCAATTGGGGGAATTGCCTCCATTGAACTAGTCTGTGGCCATGTCTGTGGGGCATCTTCTTGATTGTTGAGTGATGTGGGAGGGCCCAGCCCACTGTGGGTGGTGCCATCCCTGGGCAGGTGGGCCTGTGTTGCATAAGAAAGCAAGCTGAGCAGGGGCCAGGGGAGCAAATCAGCAAACAGCAATCCTCCATGGCCTGCGTTCCAGCTCCTGCCTCCAGGCTCCTGCCCTGAGTTCCTACCTTGGGGTCCCTGATGAACTGTGACCTGGGAGATGTAAGACAAATAAACCCTCTCCTCCCCAAGTTGGTAGTGGTCAGAGTGTTTTGTCATAGCAATGGAGAAACAAACTAGGACACTGGGTATGGTAGCACACACCTTTAGCACCAGCACTTGGTGGGGCGGGGGGTGGAGGCAAAAGATCTCTGTGAGGTTAAGGTCAGACTGTTCTGCATAGTAAGTTCTAGACCAAGTCTCAAAAATACCAAAAAAAAGAAAAGAAATTATATAAATAAAATTACCTCAGGTCAAAATAACCTAACAAATATTTGGCACATGAATGTTAGTTTTCAAGTAAATGGATTAAATCTATATAACAGGAAGTTAAAATATTATTTCAGTCATCCAAAACATATTTGATGAATCCCCATTACCTACTGGGTTGTTAACAGGTACCAAGGCCACATATTAGACAAGTCTTCATGGAGACCACAGGTTATAGAGACGAACCTTAATCAAATAATGACATGCCTAAGGACTGGGGAAACAGACACCCAACAGAACTTGGAAATTTGGAAGGAAATACTTGTGGAATTATAAACGAATGAGGAAATGTGCAGGTATAATTAAAGGTCCTTCAATAGAGAAGCGGCACTGTGGCAGGAGCGCAGAGTTACACCTCAGCAGTGACACAGGAAGAGACCAAAGAAACTGACACGAACCTCCAAAGGTCTGAGGGTGCTGCCGAGGGAATGGGCCATATGTTGGATAAACGGCCTTTGTTCAATGACCTTCTGACTGACCATTTGTTGCATCAATTATTCCTAAAATATAGCTCTAGTGAAGCAGTATTTTTAGTGTTTGTGTGCATGTTCATTTGTGTGGGTACACATGTATGTGTGTATACTGGTGTATGAGTGTGTGTGTGTGTGT